GAAGCTAAAGCTAATCATGCACTATTTCATTCACATTTTTCAATCATCTCTTTAAATTTCAATGCAAACTTGGCAAACCCTTTTAAAATATACACATTGATATACATTTTGATCATAAGGACCTTCTTAGCGATTTTCTCACGCTCTAAAGTGCACGAAAACACTAATTGTTTTCGTACGGTCATGAACCACTCAACGTACATTTATTGTGATGCGAAAGGATGTTGCTTTTTATGGAAAAAAAAACAACCTTTCCAATGGTAATAAAATGTGTACATTGGGGACTAAATCATATAGTTTCGAAAGATCACTGTTCGTCGGGTCTTCTTGGTCTGTAGTGACCATCACACAGGCAAATCCACAGTTACTGCTTTATAACATGACATATTAAGATGCTTCTAGTAGTGCTTAACGGCACCTCAGTACCTATGTAGCTATGTAGTGCCATCAAAAAGGTTTTTTTTTTCAAGAAGGAAATAATAAATTTCACAAACATTGGGAAGATGAAACCTTCCAAAAGAATTGGTCACTCGACACAACAACATCAACGGCAAAAAGTAGTAATGTAAACTTTCTGTACATTCAATAGAAGCTAATAGTAACACATTTAAAATCCTCAAAACGTGAAAAAAAATTCTTTGAATAAATTATAACCTTGCAAATTCCAATTTAACGTCCTCATATAGTGCTTTCAAGCAGATTACTTAAAAATAATTTTCCTTCGCGGAGGAAATCGATACGCAAGAAAAAGATGTGTTCCACTATTCACACTCCGGTCGATGTTCGCCCTTAAGGTGGTAGGTAAGGGTTAGGTGCATGTGTCCTATAAATGCTTGGCACAAAACAGCATAATCTCTCCTATTTGTTTTCATTATACTTATTTTGCCACGTACGACAACGGTGGTTATTTAAACAATATTTGAAGTAAGTGTAAAGTGTGTAGAATCGTCCATTTTACAATGGGTGACTTATTGTAATCTTTAGCGTTAGCAGTTTGAACTTTTAAGGAACATTTTGGATATTTGCAGAAAAGTTCTCTTGTCAGGAGTTCTTTGATAATATTTCGACCAAAGTGTTTGAGATTCTATTGATCTCTGGGGACAGAGGTTTTCTGCTCTTTTCGTTAATGAGATCTTTGTGATTGGTCAAACGTAGAATCGGGTTTTCTAATTGCTACATTGTCTCCCTCATTTATCTTAATGTATGGTGTAGGTAGCTTCTAAAACGGGTTTTGGTATCACGAAGAGTGTGAATTAGGCTTGACCTTCTGACCAGTTTATATTTATTTGTGTACATACAGTATTTTATGAAGGTAATTGCAGGATTAAGAGGAGCTGTGGCCTCAAACTTTTCCTTCCCTTTCTCTTGTTTAGTTCGTTTCACCTCCTCCTCTTACATTCATCTGAGACAGTCTCCTGACTACGAGAAATGTTTTGCCTTGGTTTCCTCTGAGCAGGACGGTTCGTTGTTGACGTTTTGCTCGATAGAATTTAAGGTCCTTTGAATTGAATATCTTTGAGGCAGCATTATTTCTGGCATTTGAAACATTCGAAGGATTAGAAATGAATTCGTGGAGAGAGATGTTTAATAACCCGTCTTAGACTAATAGAGGCAAGTGTTTGTTTGAATCAAGATGCCGTTATGGTGAAAGCGATTCCTTTTCATTGTTGAAATTCTAGGAGCTGTGATTTTAGAGAATCTTACCGTCACTAGAGCATTCCAAATGCTATAAACGGGAAACACATCTTGGTGAACTTAATGATTTGTGATCAACCTTGATAGGTATGATCACAAACTGCTTTGTGCTAGGTAGATTCTCAGTGTGTTTGGCAGCTACACTCGACAAGTAGTTGCCCCAAAACAAAGGTTTCGGCCCATCTTTGTTCTCCAGCCAAATATGGAAGTGTTTTTGGCTACCAAAAATTTTGAGAGAATGATTCGTTGGTTTCTTATTCCTATCTTGGATTTAGCATAGAAAAGTCGTTGCCATTTTCAAAGAACTTAGACTTATTTCGTCATCCGAGTTACTTTTTGAATTATTCTTGGTCCTTTCGAGATCGTGACTAAAGCGGCTGTTTGTCTTGGTTGGTTTTCATATAATGGCATTAAAAACAATGTGTCCTCCTAACCTGCCTCGTGTCCAAGAACGGGGACGGAAACATTCGTCAATTTTATGCGCTTCTCATATCAATGCTACACATTGTGATATTTTCAAGCAAATTATAAACTTAACTCAGTTGATCTTTTCAGAAGCTACGTGTTTTGTATGATTTTACAACAAACCATGTTCATTAATCACAAAATCCAAATTAAACTGAAGCCTAAATAGTTAAATTATATATATATATATATATATATATATATATATATATATATATATATATATATATATATATATATATATATATATATATATATATAAACCCTGTAACTTGGTTTGACTGATTGATAAAGATTGAGCCCGTCTAACCATCTTGTTGAAGCTGCAGACAAAGCAGAGTGTTGCATAAAAGAGGCTCCTTTCAACCTCTCCTCACTTATGCTCAACAATCAGTGTCTCCCCTAGCAACACTGGGTACATCCCACGACAAATGCATCAGACGTAATCTACAACCTCAGAACCACAGGAGGGGAAAGAAATGGAAGAAAACCGAATGCAGGTCGTTCAGACTCATACATTGGACTTTTACTATTCTGTACTTTAGGTATACAAGTTGTTCTTGGTCATTTTGTTTTATTTACTGGCATTACTGGCAGCGTATGAAAACAACCCTATAGCGGCAAATAGAACGTTGAACAGTCTGTACCCACGTGTTGGCTGTTCGCATAGGATTTCAAAGAGCATGTAAATAAATAGTTGCTCGAAGAAGATTGTTATAAAAACAGTAAGCATGTGTAAATCTCTGATGCTTTTAGATGAGTGGCTTCTGTTGCATTCTAGTTACAAACTTCATGCTACAAAATTGAATTGTTTTTATGACCAAGTAAAATCAACATTTTATTCTCTAACTCACAAAGTGAAAGTTTAAATTACTCTTTGCAATAGTTTGAATTAGATTCCAAATAATCCTAAAGGTCCTATCAAATGTATCGAATTTTCGGAATGAATTCCAATATTCTTGACTGACCCGATCAAGCAATAGTCTTTAATGTACTGAAGAACCACACCAATGCATTAAAAAATGTTTTTGAATGAGTTCTCAATCCATACTTGGCTTACAACGCAATATACATTTCAATTTAAATTTCGACCAACTCATACACCAAAATAGGCATTGAACTCAAATTCAGATAAAAAATTTATTTACCACTGACCACCATGACAAAGGTCATGTATTCAAAAACACAATCCACTTAAACAATCAAGTTAAAAAGAAATGGCAACCAACAAAAGTTCGGAATTTCTAAGATTTTAATCTTCCAGCACTGTATTTTCTACTTGTTCTCGGGACTCAGCTCTCTCTCTCTCTCTCTCTCTCTCTCTCTCTCTCTCTCTCTCTCTCTCTCTCTCTCTCTCTCTCTCTCTCTCTCTCTCTCTCTCTCTCTCTCTCTCTCTCTCTCTCTCTCTCTCTCTCTCTCTCTCTCTCTCTCTCTGACGATAGTGATTGAGTAAAAGGTACCGTAATGATCTCACTTTCTTCATTAAAGTAAGCAAAATTCTTAATACATATAAAGATGATTATTTGTTAAGTTGCCATCATTATGTACATATGAGATTTTGACCTGTCTTCAAATAACATTGAGAGTAGTACCATCCTTTTATCATGATGGATTCGTGTTGATTATAAAACAAAATGCCAATATACTTCAAACTGTAAAAAAATTACATACAGTTTTGTACTCTTTTTGAAAATGAATGTTACGATGCTCCAGGAACATTGTTAAGAAAACTGTATATGATAGAAAGAAGGTTAGTTTCTTAGCCCAAATTTTTATAAGTTCTGTTGGGTTTTTTTTCAAACACATCTATTTCTATATTATAGGAATGCAGATTACTGGCAACCTTTGCTTACCTTCAACATTGAAGGGCTTTATAATTTGCAGTAAATGCTTCTGTATGAAATAGGAGAACGTGAACACAAATGTGTCCAGTGGGACTCTGATTCCAACAAGCACATGTTATCACGTATTAGGAAAATGGATTTCCTTATTAAAATTAAAATTCAGATATACATCTGTATATCTTTTGTAAGCAATTAAACCGAATAATTCTCTTTCATTAGGGTTGAGAGTTAATGCAGACTGGTATATAATGTCACATTCAAATTTGTATGTGCAGTCCAATTTAGGCTATTTATCATCCATTTGTCATAAAATAATATAATATTTATTTACTGTGGTATAGAATTGTTATTGGTCTGAGATTAATGTTTTTTCATCAAATGATATGCTATACATTGAGGCCAGTATATATGTTGACCAAGAACTTTTTCTTCTCTTCCGAAATGTAGATACATTTATGAAATGAATATCACTTTAATTAATTCTAATGTAGAAAATTTCTATATCTGTGCTATTTAGTTTTGCGCGTTTATGTTTCCCATCAAAGATATGAATTTTTGTTTCAAGTGGAAACCCTGAGAACTAACCCTTTGATAGATTCTTTATAGCCAATTTCGTTTGTCCATTGCGTAGTTCAGATGCTTTTTTGTCAATATTTTCTTCATTTTAGTGCACAGTCTCAACAAGTTCTTCCAACTCAGTTTGAGATTGCTACGTATGATGTTTTTGATGTTGTATTGGTTGATATGACAGTTATGTAACAAATAATGAAGGCAATTATATATCTGTTCCACCAGGTACTGATAGTGCTGTTGATTCCGATGTATCATATTCAGTCCAATGTTTACCAGATAGTAATCATGGTTACCACCTTTTATTACTTAAGACGTTTTGCTTGTGTTATATTAATTTTGAGCTTCTTTTGAAAGGCACAAGGATGCATTTGGGAAACTTTCTGTTAACTTGTTTCCATGTATTGCTCACTGTTCACCACTCCAGTGGTCTAGTGGTTAGAGGGTCCGCCTGGGATGCGTAAGGCCGTGGGTTCAATTCCCAGCCGTCATACCAAAGACTTACAACAAGGGTACTTACAGCTGCCTCCCTTGGAGCTCAGCATTAAGAGGTTAGTGTTAGACTGGTCGACCGGTGTCAGGATTATGTGACTGGGTGGGACATTATACCACAAGTCTGCGGGACTCTAGCTCCAGTGCTAGACATTACTATAGAGTGCCACACTGCAGACGTCGTAGCGATGTTACCGAAATATTGTTAAAGCTACGTTAAAACTATAAATCACACACACAGACACACACACATACACGTCACACGCGTACTGATTATTTTTAGTTACTGTTTTGGAAATTATCTACTATTTCTTTATCAATTTTTCATCTATGAAGCCTTATTCAATTTTGTCTCTTCTAACTCAGTCATGTCATAAAACCTTTAAAGTCATTTAGCTTGGTTAGATCACTGCTACAACCGGATATATCGAAATTCTCACAAGCACTATACCTAAAGGTTTTGCCATTGATTTTACAGCACTGTTCCATCAAAATGCACTAAGAAATTTCCTGGCACAATCACTTTATCTGGACGTAGTTGTGCAAGTCTTATATGTAAAGTTGGTTTATGCTGTATGTTTATAGACTGTATGTGATACAGTATTGTATTTGATTCTGGTAGTTTCGTCTGCTTGTTAGGAGTTTGAATTGATCGTATTCTTCCATTATTAGTACATATTGCCCATTAATGAGCTAATTTCCATTAAATATGCAATCCAAATTTACACATAATCAGCAGAAAACTGATAGAATTAATAAAGACTGTGTGTAATGGTTGTCTTGATTATTAGGATATTTAAGCTAAATACATTAATTTAGAGAGAGTATATGTCATTATTTTGCAATGTAAATATAAGGCTGAAATTAACATGTAATAAGTATGAAACACTCCGCTTGTTTATCTCTAATCGACAAATTGTTTATCTCTAATTGTAAAATCCAACATGTTTATCTCTAATTGTAAAAACAACAATATTTAATGATTTGATAAGTTACGCATAAACCTAACTTTCTTTTATGAATGATATGTACCTGGTATTTAACATGTTCTAAATTGTGTTCATCAACAGTTGATGAAGAATAGAGATCTCCATCCCATCACTGTTAATTATTGTATGAGACGCAGTTCGGAAATAAAAATGTCTAACACTCCTTTTATAAATTTAATATGAATCTCTTTATAGCAACGGAATCTAAATTGCCTAATATCACAACTAACATGACACATTCCGGACATTTCTGACTTGAAATAATGCAAATACTGTAAATTAAAGCATTGAAGTGGCTTTATCTTTAAAAAATGACATATCGATTTCCTTTTTATTTCACTCATTAGAACACAAAATTGAGGATTTGCTATGCTCATTTCTGTTTTTAATTCACTGTTGAATGTATTTGTTTATTTTGGTTTCAAATGCGGCACTTTTGCCAATTAATGAGTCTCTGTATTTACATCAGATTGGAATGCATCTATTTTCCTTCTAAATTTTCGTTCCAAACTGTTGAAATCATGTGTCTTATGATGTTGCCTGTTCCACGAAAACTACTTTGTACCAAAACAATATTTTTAACATAATCTCTGACAGTTTTTTTTTTCTTTCGTACCTGTTCTTGATTGTTCAGTCTCAGAGAGAGAGAGAGAGAGAGAGAGAGAGAGAGAGAGAGAGAGAGAGAGAGAGAGAGAGAGAGAGAGAGAGAGATATGCATTTACTCAGCAGGGAGATCATCTGACTATTTATACAAGGATCAAGATTGTGTTGCTCGCCTATGCCAGTCGGGGTCAGCTCTCTGTGTGGCATTGGGAAATATACTTAGCTTTCATTTCACCGGAACGATATAACCAAAAATGAGTTATAATTGTTGTTAGAACACGCAGCAAAACATCAACCCCATTATTAGCTTATAAAATTCATCGGAGCGCCTATAGTTTTTGATCACCTTATTCAAATCTGTTCTGGATTTTAAAAATAAATTCATTAGTGTTATCTTCTCTTGACTGTTTGCCAGATATGAACTTGTAGATGATTATTGTGTTTCCATCAAGTCTAACAGTATTATAGCCTTCCAGTGAGTTGTTCAATTTTCTTCAGCTTTACTTCTAAAGAATAATTGTCACTTTCTATTCAATTAGTCCTAAATAGTCATTAATACGAGTGATTGTACAACTACAAATACACTTTTAATTTCTTAACAATTCCTGATCATCTACATCCTTTTGTCTGTTAAATCACTCTGATTTGTATTTCTGAGAATTCTGATCAATCTTCAACAACCACCACCTTCAATAGCTATTATTGTATTATCTACGCATTCATTGTGTGCCTAAATCTCTTTCAGCATTATCATAGAGCGTATTGGAGCATAAATTGTTGTGTTTTGTTTTTGTACAAACTGATTTTCCGCTGCATTAAATATATATTCTGAATCTGTCAGATGAGACAAAATGGTTACTATTTCATTTCAAGTTATTGCTAACAAATTGAAATTGTTTTGGAAATTATCCAGTCTTTGAAGGCGAATCTTTCTCTTCCAGGTTTCTACGGTGTTGGAGAAAATATGAAGTATAGCACAGATCATTAGGATCTACTAATGACATTATCTCATGACTGTTTATCAAAGGATAAAATATATTCAGATGCAACACTGATTACGCTGTATAAAAACAAATTTGACCTACACAGTATAAAGTCTATTTTTGTTTATTCTTTGACACAACCTAGTTTCTAGTTCCTCCTTAAAACCATTTGAGGTGACTTTAATTGGAAAGAAACTTAAAAAGGGCAAGAAACAATGTCAACAAAGTACAGTAGATACCACTATAATAAAGTTAGATGTTAATTATTTTGGCCAACTTAAGGGTTTACAAAAGTCAGCAGATTTTGAGATGCCAATACATTTCTAGGGTTATTGAATTCTTGCGTCATATTTACTGATAAATAATGAATAATTTGTTTTCGGAGGGATATAAACATGTGAACAACTGCGGTGTGCTTTTAGTGGTCAGAGTTCAGTGCTTTCTTCGTTTTAACAATTAGCAATCATTCCCTCGTTAGTCCTTTTTCATGTATATCTTAATGGTTTCAGAATTTATAACTTTCCTAGTTTCTATTTTTGTCTTGATACAAGAGAAATTGTTTTGCTTAGTTCATAGGAAATAGTGTAATCGTTAACAACAAAATCTAAATTAGGACTATCGACCCGATTACCATTCTGTTGTAAAATGGACTGTTGATATAGACCTCTTTCTCGTGGAGTCAATCTGTATTAACAAGGTAAATTAGACTTACGTGCTAAGAAAAATATTGTTGCTCATAATGCACATCATTGTGGTAAAATATTTGCTTGCGCAAAACATTTACCGAATAACAATTTTTTCATGAAAAATTATTGATTTTAATAAGTTATTGAAATCCACGTTTGCGGTGTTAAAAATCTCACTAGCTTGTTCGAAAATGTACTGTATGTACACTTGATTAGTTGCCATTGTTAACTAACATGTATTTTACAACTGTATGTTGAAACATATGCAAATAAATTATTTTATCTGTTAACAAGATGAACAAGATACCTAAATCAGTTACTTCACGACCTGTCACAAACTTTCTTTGTGTTTCTAAGTTAAGTTCAAAACTACTTGGCTGTTTGGTTATAGTAAAGTGGCTTTCTCTGGATATTTTTCAAATTTTAGCTACATCTTGCTTTTTTGATGTTGCTATTTACTTCATTTACGCTTAGATCCACGTAATTTCAAGTTTTCAAAAAGTTTAGTTGTATTCTAAATTTCAGTGTTACTTTACGTAGTGAAAATATATCAGATGAGAAGAAACACATAATACAGCTCAGAGATTGTTTTGAAAATCTTTTTGAAAAGACATACCATAGAAAACAATGGAATGTAAACGATAAGAAAATGTTGAATCACTGAAGTGATACGGGTTGTATCAAACTGAGTTTATCATTCCGCTCTATTCTTGTTCATCGAGTCATCACCTGATAAGAGCTAATGTAGCCATATTCATCTAATTATCCGTGGGTATCCGAATAATGGACTTACTTGATTCCTTATTATCCGTGGCTATGCTAATAATGGACTTACTTGATTCCTTATTATCCGTGGCTATGCGAATAATGTACTTGCTTTATTCCTAATTATCCGTGGCAATACGAATTGACTTGCTTGATTCAACGATTTCAGGATAATTTGCAAGACAAACATTTGTGTGTACTAGCCGACTTGAGTGTCTCGATGTTGATTCAGTGGTTTTGTCCGAAAATCAGTGAAGTTTGAGCTTCACAACAGCTGCAGTTAATGTATCTACAGTGTACACATAGTTTTAGTATTTATAGGCATATTCATTGGGGATAGGCATGTATGGATAAAACGAGGATTTAATTTTTTAAAACAGTATCACTTGAACAAAGAATCGATGTAAATAATTATTAAATAGAGGTTTCATTTATGGCACAAAATTCTTATTCATTATTTCAGTTTAAATGATACAAATGTTGAATAGCTTATCTTTATCTCGTTTTTCTCTTTCCTTACTCAGGCAATGAGTCACAAGAAATGCTACCAGAAAATGTATACAAATGTACGTGTGGACAGAAACAATATAAAATATTTTAAAAGGATAAAAATATAAACCTAATGTTTTAACCAGATTACAGATTCCTTTATTATATGTGGCTCATTGTTCGATGGATGTTTTAATTCGTGATTCAGGGCAACAACTCAGTACATGAAAATTGATATCTCACGAAAATTAGTGATACCAAAGTACATAATTCCTTCTAAAAGGTATACATATTTAATAAGTATGTATACATCTGGATCTGTCTGTAAATATGCCATGAAAATAGTCATTACTGTATGTCCTATTATTACACCTGGATACATTTTAATTCCTGCTTTTGGCTGGATACATATAGATATACCAAAAACAATGTTTTTGATCTTGTACTATATATGTGAAGATTTGAAGATAAATTTGGTTATCAT